CCTATCATGCCATGCCCCGCCCCGCCCCCGTTTATGTATTTTTTTAATTCTTTGTTTTGTTATTCATTTTGCAATATGCTATTTTTTTTGTCCTAAAAAAAACTATTTCGACTCTATTGAGACATTGCAGTTGACACGTCAATGAAAGTTGTTTATGTATATCAATTGAATAAAATGTGATTTTTATCAATGTTATATAGTTTATTAAAGAGTAAATTCCCTTATATTAATGCTTCAACTCAAGTAAATGGGTAAACTACTTAAAGACATTTTCGAAACAGTTTCTTTTCTTCAGAACCAAAAAAATTAATTTTCACGGTACCATTGCATTACTTAGTCAGTAAAATAAAATCCCAATAAGAATAAGATGTACGCATTGGTTTTGTAACAAAAAGACGCAAATTTCCATTAGTGTTACTCATCGAGCTTAAACCAGATTATACAGAAAGCTTGCCCTACTACCTGCCCTGCCTTCTTTAATATTTCAAAATTTTCAGTTTTGACCCGCCATGTCCTGCCCTGCCCCGTTTAACCATTACCCTACCCCGCCCCGTTTAACCTTTGCCCTGCTCTGCCCTGCTTTTGCCCAGCCCCATTGCCATTCCTACACTTGTCCAACTAAATTCACAAACCATTAACCAGATAGTGTAAAGATTTTTTCTTATATCATCAGTATAGTTTATCTAGTAGGTTCTTCATCATTTTTATCACATTATTTGATAATCCATTGATGTTTAGGATTTAATTTATATAACAGACAATATAATTTGCTTTATATCGGACTAATTTAATCAATTGTAAGAGGTTACCTACCTTATTTTTCAAATTAATAATTTCACATATCGTAGATTGTTACTTGTATTTACCGTTTTAGACTAACTGATAGGGTAAAATTTTATTTTATGCTGATAGTGTACAATAATTTAGCTTATATACAATGAAGTGTAGTAAAAAATTCATTATTGTGTCACTGAACTACAAAAATTTACCTTATTAGTTTTAAAGTGAATTATTGTGAATAATTTTATGCACCCATCATCACATAGAATTTAAGCACAGTAACAACTTATATGATGTTGTAACAGTTCTACTGGAACACTACTTTAACAAGTCTGGATCCAGAGTATTTCCCTAATGCAACAAGCTTTGATCCATCAAGATTTGAAGGAGCTGGACCTGCTCCATTTTCATACGTTGCATTCGGGGGAGGACCCCGAATGTGCATTGGGAAAGAGTTCGCTCGGCTAGAGATGCTCGTATTTCTTCACATCATAGTCAGGAAATTTAGATGGAAATTAGTTGTTCCTGATGAGAGAATTATATATGATCCAATGGCTACCCCTGTTGAAGGACTTCCCATTAGCCTTCAAAACCACAAGCCTTGAGATTGAACCTTTACTTTTGATGGAGATACATAAAAAGCATAGGGGAGGAACTAGCTTATAAGTTATTGGTTCACGTGAATGCAATAGCCTTATCCCTATCTTTGTATATTTATTAAGAATTTATTAAATATCTATAATTATTTTATTGTGAAACCAATTGTTATTGTATATTAACTTGAGCTTGGTATAGTAACTCATAAATTTTAAATTTTGTTTATTGAGCCACATGAATCACACACCTCCTTTTTGCATTTATGTTGTGTAGATTTTATAAAAGCTACTACTGGAAGTAATGGATCTCAAATCTCTTTTGTATTTGTGTTATGTGATAATTGACAAAAACTTCTGGAAATCTATATCCAAGCCTATTTGACAGATTTTCTCAATAGGATCTAATTCGTGTGAACTCCATATGATTTTTCAAGATAACATTACTTCGCGAATCTTCGTGGATCGAGGATTTTGATTTTAAAAATCAATAGACCTAATCAATTGATTAGTCTAACTTCCTCGTTGTTTATAACTCAACTATCTTTAGAAAATCTTTTGTCAATTCCGTATTAATATATAGAAAAACATTACTTAGCTTGAAATTGAATACTCATTGAGATGTTAATATGTCTTGCCAACCTTGCTGGTTTTTCCATCTAATTTGATTGTCAATCAAATCCTTTGAATGACAGAATTCTGGTGAATTGAGCCAATATCCATCAGATCTTTTGGATCCAAGCAAAATACTTATATTGGCCTTTAATTGAAAGACTGTTTGTTCAAATTTCTGTGAATCTTCTTCACTATAATATTTCCTTAACATCGGAAAAAAGTGGAGGAGGTTAATTTGAACGCAATGTCACCTCCATAGCCACGTAATAAATTGTCTGGCCAAGGGCATTAGTGCCGGTAAATTAAGATTTTATTGCCATTAAACATCAAAGGCTGTAGCGATTGTTTAGCCGCAATTATAATAAAAATTATATATAATGACGGCTAAATCCATTCCGCGGAATTACTTAAAGTCGAAAGTTAAATTTATTGTGGTTTATTTTTTGTAGTGAAGGGACCACATTTCCGGTTGAATAAAGTATTATCCTGAAATGTAATTAAGTTCTCAAATAGATTCATAAGCCAGCTACAGCCGTGCTATGAACTGTGACAAATCATTTACAGCTATCTTTTGCTTGAACATATCATGACTACTTGAGTTTTACCAAAATGATAAATAAAGAGAAAAGGAAAGAGTTGAAATGTTGAATAGAGATGAAGATCCATCCACACTCATCAGAAGCTTTCTTTTACCTTTTACGTATCTCATATGGAACTGAACATTTGTTTCGGGTATTACCTTCTGTTGGGTTGGGAAGAAGAAACCAGAAACCATATCATAATTCTAACAATCTGTGGAGATTTACTTAGAGATATAGAAGAATGGTGAAGAAGAAGAAGGGAGAAGAATGTCGTGCATATTATGTGTTTAGAATATAGGGGAATATAATTAATGGGTTAGGGGACATAAATTAATGGGGTTAGCAAGATAATTATAATATAAGGAGACATAGGTTAGTGGGTTAGTGTAGGAGGAATAAATATATATATCAAGTGTATAATATATACATGTACAAAGCTCAATGTAAAGAACACACGGAAGAATGGTTTTTCAACCAGATTTTATTCTTTCAATTTCGTACATGGTATCAGAGCAATAAGCTCGATCCAACAGTCCAACCATCAAATCAATTTACATCAGATTCATCATCATAATCAGTAACCTAAAATGTCTAAAACAACCATCACATATACTGGTGATACGAGCAATGCTGCAAAATCAGTCAGCTATGATGTCAATCACCCTTATCATCTCAACAACTCTGATTCACCTGGAATGACTGTAGTCAACACTATGTTTGATGGAAGAGGATACCCAGGGTGGAGGAGATCTATTCTCCTGTCATTGTTAGCCAAGAAGAAACTTGGTTTCATCAATGGAGCATGTCTATCTCCAGATGAGAAATCTCCAGACCATGAACAATGGAGTTGTGTGAATGACATGGTCATCTCTTGGGGTCCTAAATGCTCTCTCAAAGGATATTACAGACAATGTGATATACTCCAAAACTGCAAAAGAACTTTGGGACAACTTGGAGAAGAGATATGGGAGATCAAATGGAGCCAAGCTTTATCATCTGCAGAAGGAGTTATCAGGTTTAGTACACGGAAACAGTGACATTGCAGCATACTTCACTAAGCTCAAACGATTGTGGGATGAATTAGATGCTTTAAATATTATCATATATTGTTCATGTGTTTGTGTTTGTAAAGGAAAAGCAAAGTTGACTAAGTCTCTTGAGGATCAGAGATTGATCCAATTCCTAATGGGATTAAATGACATCTATGCACAAGCAAGAGGAAATATCTTCATGATGAACCATTTGCCTAGCATAAATGTTGCTTATTCACTTCTCTTGCAGGATGAAAATCAAAGAGAAGTTTATGCAAATGCACATTTTATATATGAATCAGTATCATTCATGGCAGCCGGAGAGGCCAAGCAGCCTAATGCACAACTTCTAGCTAATTTTGCAACTTTTATGATCACATGATAAGGGAAGAATTATCAAAAACTTAGAAGCCAAACACAAAGAGGAGCAGCCATATCACCCAAATATAACAACTCAGGGCGAAAGTTTGTTAAACTTCAGCAAAGGTTTAAAGGGAAAAAGAAGTACAATCCAAATGTATCTTGTACTTATTGTGGAAAAACAAGACATACACAAGAGGATTGTTATAGAATTATTGGATTTTCAGAAGATTTTGAGTTCACCAATCACAAAGGTCAGCAGACTCAAATTAAAGAAAATACAGTCCTACCACATGAGGAACGTGAGAATTCTGCAGGACAAAGCACTGAGCTCAACAACAGTAATTTTGGACAGCAACCCAACAAGGAACAAATTGAAGAAATGATGCACATGTATAAGCAGGCAAAGTTAGCACATGAAGGAATTACAGGAATCAATGCTAATACAGTTGCTGGTACTATTCTAAAATTCTCAGGTTCAGTGTTTACTAGTATAAAATTAGACACCTGAATCAATGATCCAGGTGCCTCAGAGCATATGTGTTTTGATCCTAATTCTTTCATGTTTCTAACTCTACTTCCTGTACCTTTGAATATCAGTTTACCTAACTCTTTCAAGGTGATTGTTACTCATATAGGGAGTATTTATATTCTGCCAGGTCATATCCTGAACAATGTGTTACATGTTCCAGATTTCAAATATAACTTATTATCAGTTAATAGGTATTGTGTTCAGTTCAAGTATGATGTCCTATTCACATCTATTGGGTGTGTGTTGCAGGGCCTTTTAATGAAGAGTCCACAAGTTTTTGGTGAAGTTAGAGAGGGACTCTACTTATTGGAACCAAGTAGCCTTAAGTCTAAGGGCTATTCAGTAGTAATGTACCTTCAATTCCGAAAGAAGAAATTTCGTTTCAAAGTCTGTTTCTTTTTCTAGTCCAGTTCAAGTTAATGGTACTCCTGATGTTAAACTTTGGCATGTAAGATTGGGACAACTTTCATTTTCAGCAATGAAACATTTAGATTTCCTTCATTGTAAGTCAAATTCTGAGTTTATCTGTGATGTTTGTCATAAGGTTAAGCAAACCAGGAATCCTTTTCCTGTCAGTAGCATAAAATCCAAGCATATATTTGAACTTATACATGTAGACACATGGGGACCTTATAAGTCAAATACTTATAATGGATTTAGATATTTCCTAACTATAGTAGATGATTATAGTAGAGGAACATGGACATTTTTATTAAGTGCAAAAAGCAATGTTTTTCCTATGCTTAAATCTTTTCTGTCTATGGTTGAAAGGCAATTCAATGTGAATGTCAGAATGATAAGATCTGACAATACATTAGAATTGGGAAAAGGTACACAAGAAGCAGTTTTCCTAGCTTTATGAAAGGTCATTTTTTTTTTCCTTTCACTATTAAACAAACATTCGGAATATATTTTTTTTTTTATGAAAAATAGCTTTTGTAATATCAAGTATTCCCAAATTAAAGGAGGGTCTAATGTTGGGAATCAGTCGATATTACCAATATAAGAACTCCTGTAACAACCTATCCAATATAGCAATTACTATTGTATTTAATCTTTTTCTTTTTGTGCTCTATATTTATGAAGGTAAAGAGCAGGTGAAGGTTTACCATCTCCTCAAACTATACACTTTCAAAGTGGCATGTCAGCTATTCATGAGCATTGAAGACCACAATGAAATTGAAAAGCTTTCAACACTTTTCAACATTTCCTTGAAAGGATTAATAGCAATCCCTGTAAATTTACCTGGTACAACTTTTCACAAAGCAACTAGAGCTGTAGCTACTGTCAGAAAAGAACTATTGCAAATAGTCCGAAAAAGAAGAGAAGCCTTAGAACAAAAGACAGCTTCACCTTCACAAGATATTTTGTCTCATTTGCTTTCCTTCCCAGATGAAAATGGAAAGTTCATGTCTGAACTTGTTATTGTTAATAACATATTGTTGCTGCTCTTTGCTGGCCATGACACTTCAACTGTAGCTCTTACTTTACTCATTAAGAGACTGGGAGAGCTTATATAGCTCTTACTTCAACTGTAGCTCTTACTTTACTCATTAAGAGACTGGGAGAGCTTATATAGCTCTTACTTCAACTGTAGCTCTTACAATAATTTAGCTTATATACAATGAAGTGTAGTAAAAAATTCATTATTGTGTCACTGAACTACAAAAATTTACCTTATTAGTTTTAAAGTGAATTATTGTGAATAATTTTATGCACCCATCATCACATAGAATTTAAGCACAGTAACAACTTATATGATGTTGTAACAGTTCTACTGGAACACTACTTTAACAAGTCTGGATCCAGAGTATTTCCCTAATGCAACAAGCTTTGATCCATCAAGATTTGAAGGAGCTGGACCTGCTCCATTTTCATACGTTGCATTCGGGGGAGGACCCCGGATGTGCATTGGGAAAGAGTTCGTTCGGCTAGAGATGCTCGTATTTCTGCACATCATAGTCAGGAAATTTAGATGGAAATTAGTTGTTCCTGATGAGAGAATTATATATGATCCAATGGCTACCCCTGTTGAAGGACTTCCCATTAGCCTTCAAACTCACAAGCCTTGAGATTCATCCTTACTTTTGATGGAGATACATAAAAAGCATAGGGACGGACCTAGCTTATAAGTTATTGGTTCACGGGAATGCAGTAGCTTTATCCCTATCCATTAAAGTTTTACTGTTGTATAAGGGATCGCTGAAGTTTTTAGCAGCCATTCACAGAAGTGCCGGTAAAGAAAGATTTTATTGCCGTTAAAAGTCAAAGTTTGTAACGATTGTCTAGCGGCAATTATAATAAAAATTTGAATCACGAGTGAATCCATTCCGCCGAATTACTTGAAGTCAAAAGTTGAATTTACTGTGTTTTCTTGTAGTGAACTGAAGGGACCACATTTCTGGTTGAATAAAGTATCGTGGAATGTAACTAAGTTCTCAAATATATTCATAAGCCAGCTATAGCCGTGCTATGAATTGTGACAAATCATTTACTGCTATCTTTTGCTTCAACATATCATGACTACTTGAGTTTTACCAAAATGATAAATAAAGAGAAAAAGAAAAAGTTGAAATGTTGAATATGAGATGAAGATCCATCCACACTCATCAGAAGCTTTCTTTTACCTTTTACGTTTCTCATATAGAACTGAACATCTGTTTCTGGTATTACCTTCTTTTCTCTTAGCATCAATCAGAACATAATGAAAGGGAAATTAAAGCAAACTCTTTTAAGGGTTGTGAGGTTGAAGTAGTACTGGAAGTCCTTCAATTGGGGTGGGCATAGGATCATATTCTATTTTCTCAGTCGGAATCAATAGTTTCCATCTGAAATCTTTGACTACATTGTGGATAAAAACAAGAATCTCAAGCCGCGCAAACTCTTTGCCCAAGCACATTCTAGGCCCTCCCCCGAATGGAACATATGAAAATGGCGTCGGCCCTGCTCCTTCAAATCTTGATGGATCAAAGTTTTTGGTGTTGGGAAAGAACTTAGGGTCCATGTGTGTTACAACGCCGTTCCAATATAGCTGTTTCATCAAATCAAGCCATCATTTAAGGTTTGCATAGCAAGTGCATTATACTTTTCTATTATAATGATGATACATTGTAAATCATAATCTAAGCTAAAAGAGTGGATATGCACTTTGGTCCGGCCATCAAATGCGTCTTAATTTCAAATAAGTTGAGGTCGGTTATATAAATTATCAGTGTCCATGTCACTCCCGTGTCAATCCAATATTATATGAACAAAAAGAAATTTTTCCCGCACTAGAAGATCTCAAGATTTTCTACTGACATTGTATACGGTCAAAACCGATTAGTCCGTCGTACGGACTGGTCGGTATGATAATACTTTGATCGAAGGGCGGCTTCGTAATACCAGGTCGAGGTCCGAAGTCAGGTCATCAAGTTTCGAGTTCTAGGACCGATCAATGACAAGCTCGGTATCATTATCGAGCTCGTATCCAAATCGAACTACGGGGCGAGGCGAAATTATCGAGCCTAAGATGCATAGACCGACCGACACCGACCCTGAATCAATACCAAACTCCGAGTCAAAATCGAGCTCGAGTCAAAATCGAGCTCACAGACAAGAAACGTTGCAACTACACTAGGAGAGAGAATCCTAGCAGGAATTAGGGAAAAGCTAGTTCCTCATGGGTTCCCCACTATGTATTTTTTATTATATCTAAAGTAGGATCCCTCCACTATAAATGGGATGATTGTTGTTTCTGTGAGCAGGACATTCACACATTGTAACAAAAGATTATTACTTATATTGAAAGATCAATCCTTTGAGCTCTCTTACTTAATTTATTTCCTCTTTTCAATAGTTTTATCTTTCGTTCTTATAGTCAAGATTGGATATTTCTATTTCTGTTTACGATTTGTATCAAGCTATACCACATACCCTTAGAACTACGTACAAATTCAACTCTATCCAATTTTTCGGGTAAACAGTTTGGCGCCCACCGTGGGGCTGAGGATAACAGTGGTTGTTTGATACAAACCTGCAACACACACCGTTTTACGCTTGTCTTTCGAGAGTATCTTTGGCTTCGGATTAGAAAGGACAAACCCCCGATTAATGGCTTTACCTATCGACAACGAAGCCAGCCTTCAAGATGAAACCAACAACTTGACGCCCAGGGCCGGAAGTTCGCTTGTCGATGTCGTTGAAGCTTGAGTCGAAGTACCACTAGACGTTAATTCGCATGTGGCCCTTGAGGCAAACCAACGTTCTGAACATAGCATTCATGGTGGTACTCGATCTGCAGCCCGAGACACCCATAACATTGAGGAAAACGGCATCAACTTGCGTATGATTTTTGAAATATTGCAAGCCCAACAGGTAGCGATAGCTCAGTTGCAGAGCCAAACCCAACTACCGAGCAGGCCGGAGCCCAGTCCACCTCGAGAAATTACCCACAGAACAGAGCCAGCCATAGTGAGGTCAAATGAGCAAGAATCGGGGACTACTCCTGAAATTGCTAAAATACTCGAGGAGCTCACAAAGCGAGTCGAAGCCAACGATAAAAAATTAAAAACATATAACTCTAGGGTCGATCAGATTCCGGGGGCTCGACCAATGATAAAAGGGTTGGATTCCAAAAAATTCGTGCAAAAGCCTTTTCCCTCGAGCGCAGCCCCAAAACTAATCCCCAAAAAAATTTGTATGCCTGAAATTCCCAAATATAACGGAACGACGGACCACAACGAACACGTCACCTCTTACACGTGTGCCATCAAGGGCAACGATTTAGAAGACGATGAAATCGAATCTGTGTTGTTAAAAAAATTCGGAGAGACCCTCTCAAAGGGAGCAATGATTTGGTATCACAACCTATCACCGAATTCTATCGACTCATTTGCCATGTTAGCAGATTCTTTTATAAAGGCACACGCCGATGCCATAAAAGTCGCAACAAGGAAATCGGACCTTTTCATAGTAAAACAAAGGGATAATGAAATATTGAGGGAGTTCGTGTCCCGATTTCAAATAGAACGCATGGAATTGCCACCGGTCGCAGACGATTGGGTAGTTCAAGCTTTCACCCAAGGGCTGAACGAGCGAAGTTCGATAGCATCACGTCAGTTGAAATAGAATTTGATCGAGTATCCAGCAATAACTTGGGCAGATGTACACAATCGATACCAATCAAAAATCAGGGTCGAAGACGACCAATTAGGATCTCATCCCGGATTAGTACATCCAAACAGGTCGGCTATGTCGGCTATTAAAAACCAAAGGGGCATCGACAGAGAGCCAAGGTTGAACAAAGACCGATATCAACCATACATTGCAGATCAAAGGAATAATGGTTTGGGACGCAATTCCGCCCGGAATAATCGAAGAAGTGATCGAGGGCAGAATTCTCGGGGACTTATGAACAAGAGTGGTTTTGAAAAATATGCCGATCCTATAAGGGTACCTCGATTATTGGAATATAACTTCAGTGTCGATGCATCAGGCATTGTATCGGCAATCGAAAGAATCAAAGACACTAGGTGGCCCAAACCCATGCAAACTGATCCTTCCCAGAGAAACCCAAATTCGATGTATAAATATCATGGTATGCATGGCCACAAGATCGAGGATTGCAAACAACTAAGGGAAGAAGTAGCCCGTCTATTCAATGAGGGCTACCTTCAAGAATTTCTCAGCGATCGAGCCCAGAATCACTTCAGAGAAAGGGACGCCAACAGAAAAAATAAACAAGAGGAACCTCAACATATCATTCATATGATCATCGGTGGGGTCGACACTCCACAGTGACTCGTACTCAAACGCAATAAGGTACCGACCACTAGGGTAAAACGAACTTGAGATTATGTGCCCGAAGGCACTTTATCATTTGACAACGAAGAAGCAGAAGGCATTTTTCAGCCCCACAACAACGCTCTGGTAATTTCTATCCTATTAAATAAAGTTCAAGTTAAGCGTGTTTTAGTGGATCCAGGTAGCTCTACGAACATCATCCGATCGAGGGTCGTGGAGCAGCTCGGTCTGCAAAATCAAGTCGTGCCCGCAGCTCGGGTATTAAACGGCTTTAATATGTCCAGTGAAACGACTTAAGGAGAGATTATTCTACCGGTGAATGTGGACGGGACCATCCAAAGTACCAAGTTTCACGTAATCGAAGGCGGCATGAGGTACAATGCCCTACTTGGAAGGCCTTGGATCCACAATATGAGAGCAGTACCCTCGACTCTCCACCAAGTAATGAAATTCCCGACGTCGGATGACGTGAAAATAGTATACGGGGAGCAATATGCTGCAAAGGAAATATTTGCAGTCGATGAGGTAACACTGATATCAACACTCTCAACCTCGGAAAGATCGAGCATTAAAGGTATACGAGAAGTCAAATAGCAATCACATCCGCCAGTCTCGACCGAATCAGGGAAGCAGGAAATGGAAGAAGGGGATGAGGATTTTCTGACCCCTCGAACTTTTATCACCCTCGAAGATTCTGACGCCACCAAAACAACGATCGAGGAACTGGAACAGGTTATATTGATCGAGCATCTGCTCGAGAAATAGGTTTACCTGGGAACGGGATTGACCCCCGAACTCAGGAAAAAACTTATTCAATTTCTTATTAATAACATAGATTGTTTTGCTTGGTCCCATTTAGACATAGCAGGAATAAAGAAGACCTCAGTCCGAGATAAAGCACACATTTGTAAAGGACGATGTAACTAAACTTCTCAAAATAGGGTCGATTCGGGAAGTAAAATATCCTGAATAGTTAGCCAATGTAGTTGTAGTCCTTAAAAGGGGAAAAAACTTAGAATATGTGTAGATTATAAGGATCTGAATAAGGCATGCTCCAAATATTCTTTTCCACTACCTAACATCGATCGCATGATCGATGCCACAGCCGTCTATGAGATCCTTACTTTTCTCGATGCCTATTCCGGATACAATCAAATTCAAATGAACCTGGAGGACGGAGAAAAGATCTCATTTATCACCAAATATGGAACATATTGTTATAATGTGATGCCCTTCGAGCTAAAAAAATGCAGGAGCTACTTACCAACGCCTAGTGAATAAAATGTTCGAAGAACAAATATGTAAGTCAATGAAAGTTTATATTGATGACATGCTAGTTAAGTCCCTACGTGCAGAGGACTATTTGACTCATTTGCAGGAAACGTTCGAGATTTTAAGGAAATACAACATAAAGCTCAACCCCGAGAAATGTGCTTTCGGGGTTGGTTCGGGCAAGTTCCTTGGCTTCATGGTATCAAATCGGGAAATCAAGATCAACCCCGATAAAATCAAGGCCATCGAAGACATCACCATCGTAGATAGAGTGAAAGTTGTGCAGAAGCTAACCCGACGGATAGCTGCCTTAGGCCGTTTCATTTCGAGGTCGTCAGATCGAAGCCACAGATTCTTCTCTCTACTCAAAAAGAAGAATGATTTCGCCTGGACTCTGGAATGCCAATAGGCATTAGAACAATTGAAGCGATACCTGTCGAGCCCACCACTGCTTCACACTCCGAAGGCAGATGAGAAACTTTACTTATACTTGGCGGTATCAAAAATTGTGGTAAGTGGCATCCTAGTTCGAGAAGAGCAAGGTACGCAATTTTCTGTTTATTGGGTAAGTCGGACCTTAGGAGAAGCAGAAACTAGATATCCCCACTTAGAGAAATTAGCACTTGCACTAATAAGCGCCTCTAGTAAGTTAAGACCATACTTTCAATGTCACCCCATATGCGTTTTTACTACTTACCCACTTCGTAATATTTTGCACAAACCCGAACTATCGGGCCGATTGGCCAAATGGGCCGTCGAACTCAGTGGGTACGATATCAAATATCAACCTCGTACGGCCATCAAATCTCAAATTTTAGCAGACTTCCTGGCTGATTTCACGCCAACCCTCGTTCCTGAAGTTGAAAAAGAACTCTTGTCAAAATCGGGTACAACATCGGGGGTTTGGACCCTCTTCACAGATGGTGCTTCGAATGCAAAAGGTCCGGACTTGGCATCGTGTTGAAACCCCCCACGGGTGGCATTATTCGGCAATCTATCAAAACTTTTAAGTTGACTAACAATGAGGCCGAGTACGAGGCCATGATTGCAGATCTCGAGCTAGCTAAAAATTTGGGAGCAGAAGTCATTGAAGCCAAATGTGACTCTTTGCTAGTGGTAAACTAAGTAAATAAAACCTTCGAAGTCGAGAAGATAGAATGCAAATGTATTTGGACAAATTACAGGTAACTTTGCACCGTTTCAAGGAATGGACTTTACAACATGTGTCTCGAGAACAAAACAGTGAGGCTGATGCACTCGCAAATTTGGGATCATCGATCGAGGAAGACGAGATTGACTCGGGGACTGTCATTCAACTCTCGGGATCCGTAATCAAGGAGGGGCATGCCGAGATAAATTCTACAAGCTTAACCTGGGATTGGAGGAATACGTATATTGAATACTTGAAGAATGGAAAACTCTCATCGAACCCTAAAGAATCAAGGGCCCTACGAGCCAAAGCTGCTCGATTCACGTTGGCTAAAGATGGAACACTATACAGAAGGATGTTCGATGGACCATTGGCAGTATGCTTAGGACCCGGAAACACCGATTATGTTTTATGAGAAGTCCATGAAGGTACTTGTGGAAACCACTCCGGCGCCGAATCACTGATTCACAAAATCATCAGGGCAGGATACTACTGGAATAGTATAGAAAAAGACACTAAGGAGTTTGTTCGAAAATGTGATAAATATCAAAGATTTGCACCGATGATCCATCAACCCGGAGATCAACTTCATTCAGTACTATCCCCATGGCCATTCATGAAATGGGGGATGGATATCGTCAGCCCCCTACCGTCTGCCCCAGGTAAAGCTAAGTTCATTTTATTTATGACTGACTATTTCTCTAAATGGGTTGAAGCACAGGCATTCGAGAAAGTGAGAGAAAAAGAGGTTATAGACCTCATCTGGGATCACATCGTGTGTCGATTTGGGATACCCGCAGAAATAACATGCGACAATGGTAAGCAATTTATCGGCAGTAAAGTAACAAAATTTCTTGAAGACCATAAAATAAAAAGGATATTGTCAACACCGTACCATCCTAGTGGGACGGACAGGCCGAATCAATGAACAAGACTATCATCCAAAACTTGAAGAAAAGGTTGAACGAAGCTAAAGGGAAAAGGAGAGAAATTCTGCCCGAGGTCCTTTAGGCATATCGAACAACATCAAAGTCCAGTACGGACAACTTCGTTTTCCTTAGTGTATGGCTCCGAGGCCTTAATTCCAGTCGGAGAACCCAGCCTAAGGTTTTGGCATACATCGGAGGAATCGAACCACGAGGCTATGAATACTAGCCTCGAATTATTGGATGAAAAACGAGAAGCGGCACTTGTTCGAATGGCTGCACAAAAGCAACGAATCGAAAGGTACTACAATAGAAGAACCAACCTCCGCCACTTCAGGGTAGGAAACTTAGTCATAAAGAAGGTCACCATCAACACTCGAGATCCTACTGAAGGAAAGCTCGTCCCGAATTGGGAAGGACCCTATCAAGTCCTTGATATAGTCGGAAAAGGGTCTTATAAACTCGGAACGATGGATGACAAACCATTGCCAAACAACTGGAACATATCACTTCTCAAACGATATTATTGTTAAGGTATGATTTTCTCCCTCCTTTCGTCCATATATGTTTGACGCTAACACACTGCAGGAGTTCGAACAAAGACATCGAGACCTCAGGTTTTAAAGTACGCATTCCACTCCTTTTTCCCTTTGATCGATTTTTATCCCAACTCGGTTTTTCCGATGAGGTTTTTAACGAGGCAACAACTATGTGCTACCTGAGGACAATTTAACAGTATCCAAGGCCTCCTTACAGTCAACCTCGAATACTGGGGGGCTTTACCATCAAATAAATCAAGTTCGATACAATAAAGTTATTTCATATCAAATTCACGTCAGACAGGGTCTTGATAGAGAAAAGTGTAAGGGCCAAATGGTCAAAACGAACCATGCCCGCATAGTTTTGCTCGAGCCTGACGCAACATACGAACACATGTATAATGACTTATAAAGGAAAAACTTCTTTACCGATATCTCATACTTTGAAAAGTTCGTTCTACTTCATGATTCAAACAGGCTTAAGGGCCAACCACTATCGAGTTCGAGCAATCACTCACACGACTATTAAGCCTAAAGGCTATCTTACTTCGAGTTCGAGCAATCACTCACTCGACCATAAAGCCTACGGGCTGCAATACTTCGAGTTCGAGTTCGAGTTCAAGCAATCACTCACTCGACTATTAAGCCTAAGGGCTATCTTACTTCGAGTTCGAGCAATCACTCACTCAACCATAAAGCCTACGGGCTGCAATACTACGAGTTCGAGTTCAAGCAATCACTCACTCGACTATTAAGCCTAAGGGCTATCTTACTTCGAGTTCGAGCAATCACTCACTCGACCATAAAGCCCACAGGTTACAATACTTTGAGTTCGAGTTCGAGTTCAAGCAATCACTCACTCGACTATTAAGCCTAAGGGCTATCTTACTTCGAGTTTGAGTAATCACTCACTCGACCACAAAGCCTACGGGCTACAATACTTCGAATTTGGGTTCGAGCAACCACTCACTCGACTATTAAGCCTAAGGGCTATCTTACTTTGAGTTCGAGCAATCACTCACTCAACCATAAAGCCTACGGGCTGCAATACTTCGAGTTCGAGCAATCACTCACTCGACCACAAAGCCTACGAGCTACAATACTTCGAATTCGGGTTCGAGCAACCACTCACTCGACTATTAAGCCTAAGGGCTATCTTACTTCGAGTTCGAGCAATCACTCACTCGACCATAAAGCCTTCGGGCTGAAATACTTCGAGTTCGAGCAATCACTCGCTCCACTCTTGAGCCTAAGGGCTATATTACTTCGAGTTCGAGCAATCACTCGCTCCACTCTTGAGCCTAAGGGCTATATTACTTCGAGTTCGAGCAATCACTCACTCGACTATTAAGCCTAAGGGCTACTTTATTAAAAGTTCGAGCAAACACTCACTCAACTAAATCCTCAAACTTTTGAACATTTTAATAAGACACAAGTAAAACAAAATCTTCCCTAGGCAGAAAAGAAAACAGAGACAAGTTGGGAAAAGAAAAAACCTTTATATATATGTTTACAAAACATCCGATCAGGACCTTACACGAAAAGATCAAAATAAGAAAAACCCTAATTATCTACGGGAGCAGTCTTTTTCTCCATCGGGCTCCTCCCCACTTCGAGACCCGCTCTTGCTCCCATCACCGTCATCGTCATCATCGGAGGCCAAGGCCTCAACATAGGCTTCAAGCTCTTTTGCCTTTATTATCTCTTCAGTAAGATCGAAGCCTCGAGCATGGATCTCCTCAAGGGTTTCCCTCCAAGATTGGCATTTGGCAAATTCGGCAATCCAATGTGCTCAAGTTCGAGCGGTCTCGGCTACTTCTCTCGTATGCGACTGAGCGGCCTCAGCATCGGCCTGATAAACAGCCACAAATGCATCTGCATCGGCCTTTGTCTTTTCATCCTTGGCAAGTTCAGAAGCCAACCGGGCCTCAAGCTCCTCTGTTTTCCTTGCTTGAACCAAGCGTTTCTCCTTCAGACTTTGAAGTTGATTTTCGGCCGATGATAATTGGGCTCGAGCAGCCTCTTTCTATGCAGCAAAGCGGTCCATATTTTCTTTCCATTTCAAGGACTCCGCCTTTATCACATCGACCTCCTCACGGAGCTTCCCGATCATCTCAAGCTTCTGCTGCAGCTATGAGACCGAAAGATTAGGCATCGTTCCAGTATCGAGTCCATAGGCTTTTAATAGTGTCATTACCTGCTCGGACAGATCGGTCTGATCTTGGTGAGCTTTGGCCAACTCAGGTCGGAGGTCCTTGATTTCTTTTCCCCTTTGCCCTAAGAGGAGTTTAAGGGCCTTCCTCTCCTCCGTGGCACCCGTTGGAGATCGGCCTCGTATCAATGCAGCTCAGCTCAGGATCGAGAACATGATTCTCGATGAGCTACCACGGCCTACAAAGAAAGTAGAAACAAAGTAAGAAAAGAAAAACAGACATAAGAGATAATACCAACAAAATAATTTAAGGCTTACCTGATTCAAAGCCTGCTGCACTCCGTGAAAAAGATCTGATGCATCACTAGTGCCGGCAGCGTCTTCGACACCGGTAAACATGTCACATAAAGGATCCTCTCCCTCATGAGGCCTGTCTAGTTCGAGGGCGCCCAAAGCTTGGGCTTCCCGAATCGCCCCTTCGGAAAAGGCAGGGAAGGTGGGCGAGTCTTCAATTGCTACTGCCCCAAGTGAGTCACTTGGGGAATTCTCTTCGGTTCGAAGAGATTCGGGGAGAGCCCCTTCATACATATCCCCCATCCGTTGTCTTCGATGGGAAGCATCCTCTATCTCCAACGACTCGGGGACTATGCCCGAATCTTTCTCCGATATATCCCTAGTTCGAGGCGGAGCCTTATAAACCACCATCGATCCAGCTGCCTGTGGAACGTCAGTGGTCTTCTTCGATCGGGCCACCAGTACGGATCCGTCGTCTTCCTCTTCCTCATCTCCATCCCTTAGACGCTGAACCAATTCTAAGGTCAAAGGGATGGTATTCTTCCTCGACTTACGAGTCGACATTGCCTTCGATTTTGAATTTTCGGAAGTAGAGGCCCTTTTTCTCTTATTCCCCTCTGCCGGTTTAGAAACCGGGTCCGAGACTTCTTTCTCGCCGGGTAGGGGCCTCAAAATCGCATCTTTTCCCAGGCCTACACACAAGAAAATCGGTTGAATATGTGGAAAATATTTCGTTCAAACTCTCAAAACATGAGAAATAGGCTTACCATGATTTTTGGCCTCCCATCGGCCCTTTGCCAAATCACGTCACGAACGTTCGGCGTATGTAGAGGTCGAAGCCAGGGCTCGTACCCAGTTCTTAAGATCGGGAACGGCACCGGGCATCCAAGAAACCGCTGCATCACAAAAGAGATATCAGCAAGAAAGAAACAAAGAGACAAGGCGATAGGGAATAAGCAGCAGAATTACACTTACACTTCATATTCCATTCTTCGGGGAATGGTATCTTTTCGGTTGGGATCAAGTCCGAAGTCTTCACTCGAACGAACCTGCCCATCCAACCTCGATCATTGTCCTTATCTCTGCTCGAGAACAGTACCTTGGTAGCCCGACATTGAAGTTTTATTAAGCCACCTCGAAAGAGGCTGGTACTATACAATCTAATAAGATGATCGAGGGTGAAAGGCATCCCCTCGATCTTGCTTGCAAAGAAACGGATCAGGATAACGATCCGCCAAAAGGAAGGATGAATCTGACCTAGATTTATTCGTTTTGATGACAAAAATCAATGATAATAGGGTCGAAAGGTCCTAATGTAAAAGGGTAAGTATACACACTAAGGAACCCTCCCACGTGGGTTGTAATATCTTCATCGGGAGTCGGAATTACCACTTCCTTGTTATCCCAGTTGCAATCTGTCTTTAACTGTGCAAGTTACTTTTTGGTTATCGAGCACAAATACCTTGATACCGTTTCACACCGACCGGGAACCAACGAGCCCTTACCGACCTTAAAATCGGAGGTGAGAAGACACGTTCTAGGAACAAACTCCTCAGGTCGTGGCTCCACCGGTATTTTATCGGCGACGGGATGTGAAGAAGAAGCCTCTTCTTTTTGAGGGACGGTTTTTGATGTTTTCACCATTTTTTGAATTTAGAAGAAAGAAATAAAGAAGATGTGGTGTTTCAAAGAAAGATTAGGCAGTAAAAACCACAGAAGGAAAATTTTGCACTTAATTCAGAAGGTATGAGAAAATGCTTAGGAATTTGAGATCAGAAGATGTAAAAGTGATAAATGGTATATTTATAGGTTGAGCAGTGGCGGTCCAATATAGGTAATGGCCAACCACCGTCTCACACGCATTAAATGCCTCAGTAAACTAAATAGATGGGACAGCTATAGCGTACGTCACGATCGGATTCGATGCACACGTCAGTATATATCTAATCGTACCGTCAGAAAATCATATCGTTTCTCGTTACATTCTTTCCGAGAAACACGGGGACTATCTGTACACGGTCAAAACCGATTAGTCCGTCGTACGGACTGGTCGGTATGATAATAATTTGATCGAAGGGCGGCTCCGTAATACCAGGTCGAGGTCCGAAGTTAGGCCATCAAGCTTCGAGTTCTTGGACCGATCAATGACAAGCTCGGTATCATTATCGAGCTCGTATCCAAATCGAACTACGGGGCGAGGCAAAATTATCGAGCCTAAGATGCATAGACCGACCGACACCGACCTCGAATCAATACCAGACTCCGAGTCAGAATCGAGCTCGAGTCAAGATCGAGAGCTCGAGTCAATATTGAGCTCACAAACAAGAGTCGTTGCAACCACACTAGGAGAGAGAATCCTGGCAGGAATTAGGAAAAAGCTAGTTCCCCATGGGTTCCTCACTATGTATTTTTTATTATATCTAAAGTAGGATCCCTCCACTATAAAGGGGATGATTGTTGTTTCTGTGAGCAGGACATTCACACATTGTAACAAAAAATTATTCCTTATATTGAAAGATCAATCCTTTGAGCTCTCTTACTTCATTTATTTCCTCTTTTCAACAGTTTTATCTTTCGTTCTTATAGTCAAGATTGGATATTTCTATTTCTCTTTATGATTTGTATCAAGCTATGCCACATACCATTAGAACTACGTACAAATTCAACTTTATCCGATTTTTCGGGTAAACAAACATATAGATCTTTAATAAGATTAAAACCTTGGTAAATGTTGGGCCTAAAGTCTCCAATGATGGGGCGTCTCAAAGAAATTTCCAAAGAGAAGATGACATGCGTAAATACTTTCAAATAAGACTTTCTATTTAAAAGCTAAGTAAAAAACGGAATGTATTACTACATTGTTTGATCTTGGTAATTTTGCCCGTCAAGCGGTTTAAGAAAACTTAGAAATTAACCTTGAACAAATTGTTCTAAAGCATGTTGAAGATGTTTAATTGAAGGGAATAGTGTTCAAGAGCAAGTTCATATATATCATCTACTTATGCCTTTTGAGTTTTAGACTTAAAAAAATCTGCCCTTCTAATTTAAACCATATAATCTTTTGATCAAGTAAAAGTGTAAAAGTAATAAAGTACCTTCCATCCTTTTGGAATGATGTAACCTTGGTAGTCCAAATTTACTAGTGCTTCTCTGAAACTTCCAGTGATTGGTGATGTTAGCCTGAGAACTTCAGATACTACATCCCATGTATACTTCATCTTCTGCATATCATCCCAATTCAAGTATTCCCTTCCTCCTTTTAATGATGCAATCTCTTTTTGTTCTGTTTTCATTATCAAGACAAAAGAATAATACAACTAGTTTCATCAGGACAGCTGTCCCAGGCCTTCATAATATAATTAAATAAGTTAAATGTGTGTCCTCTCTAACATAAGCCATATTTTAACGTGATATTAGAGTAGATAAGATGTTTTATCTTCAAATTTCACTACCACCTAAAAACAAAAAAGTATTTCTACGTGTTAGAACCATAAATTTTGACATGATCTAGGTGTCATGTTAAGACATTAAGTTATCAAAAACTGTGGTTGGATTCTAATATCTTAAACTTTTAGATGACAACTCAATATTCTTATATTTGCATTTTTTTTGGGTTGGGG